GAGACTGACTCCAACATCTTCTGTGCAGCCTTCACCACTCTCTGCAAAGCTTTTCTTTCTGCAGCTGTGCAGCCTCCATGCCACACGTTGATGCTGGAGCACAGGATGCTCTCCACTACACACCTATTGGAGAAGTGAGTCAGATCCTTAGTTCATCCTCAGATCCAGGAGGAACAATGCGGGTTCTGTCCTGACCGTGGAACACTGGACCAGCTCTTTGCCCTCACTAGGGTCCTCAAGGAGTCATGAGAGTTTGCCTATCCAGTCTGCATGTGTTTTTTGGACTTGGAGAAGACATTCGACAGTGTTCCTCAAGGTACACTGTGAGGGGTGCTCTGTGAGTATGGGATTGGAGGCCCTTTGTTACAAGCTGTTCGGCCCCTATACAATTGGTGCAAGAGTTTTGTTTGCATTGCCGGTAGTAAGTCGTACCCTTTCAGGGTGGGAGTTTGACTCCGCCAGGGCTGCTCGTTATCGATTCTGTTCTTAACTTTTCTGGACAGAATTTTTTGTTGCAGCCAGGGGACGGAAGGATTCCCATTCCGTGACCTCAGGATTTCATCTCTACTCTTTCCAGATGATGCGTTCCTGTTGGCTTCATCATGCCGTGATCTTCAGCTCTCACTGGAGCAGTTCGCAGCTGTGTGTGAAGCGGCTGGGATGAGAATCAGTACCTCCAAATCTGAGGCCATGGTCCTCAACTGGAAAAGTGTGTATTGCACTCTTCAGGTCGAGGGTGAGGTTCTACCACAAGTGGAACAATTCAAGTATCTTCGGATTTTGTTCACGAGTGAGGGAAGAATGGAGCGTGAGATTGACAGACAGATTTATGTAGTGTCTACAGTATGGCAGACTCTGTACCAGTCCGTTATGGTGAGGAGGGAGCTGAGCTGTAAGTCAAAGTTCTCTGTTTACTGGTCAGTCTACGTTCCTACCCTCATGCCTATGGTCATGAGCTCTGGATGGTGACTGAAAGAATGAGATTGCAGATACAGGAGGTTGAAAAGAGTTTCCTCTGCTGGGTAGCTGGACTCTCCCTTAGAGATAGGCTGAGAAGTTCAGTTTTTTGAGAGAGACTCAGAGTAGAACCGCTGCTCCTCCACATCGAGAGGAGCCAGTTGAGTTGGTTCGGGCATCTGGTAAGGATGCTTCCTGAGTGCCTCCCTAGGGAAGCACTTCAGGCATGTCTGACTGGGAGGAGACCCTGGGGAAGACCCAGGACACTGGAGAGACTACGTTTCTCGGCTGGCATGGGAAAGCCTTGGGGTCCTTCTAGAAGAGCTCGAAGAGGTGGTTGTCAAAGGAGATGTCTGGACCTCCCTGCTCAAGCTGCTGCCCCTGCAACCCGACTTCGGAACAAGTGGAAGATAATGGATGGATGGGTTCTCGTCACAAAGATGGCTTCCTTTTTTCTTCTCTCAAGCTAACATTCCTCTTTATCATGGATGCGCACATCTTCATCCCTGAAAAAGTTACCCCTGGCCTGCAGATGTGTTCACGTTTTCAGGTATGAAGATGTGCACATCCTTGATAGAGAGGAACGTTGGTTTGAGAGAGGAGTGAAGGAAGGAAGCCATCTTTGTTGAGCAAACCCATCCATCATTAAAGTTGTGGAGGCTTCTGTGTTAAACTGTTGCCTTCTTACAATACTGTTATTGCTAGTATTGCTCAGCCCCCTGTGAATAGCAAGTGGCCATCAAGGCACTAACGACCACTTGTTAGGATGATAGTCCTCCTTTATCATATGAACAGCTAATCCTGGCTGTCACCATCAAACTGGTTGATCCGATATGAGAAGGTGCAGTTTATATGACTTAAGTTTGTTGTAGCTTCTCAGACTAAAGAGGTCTTTTGGATAAAAGATTAAACGTTTCTACAAGAAGAATCTGTCCAGAGGACCTGGCTTCACTTTGTTAGATTAAGTCCAAAAAGTGGCCCATTATTTTTATGAAACCCATTAAGTTCATAGAAATACTCCCACTCTTATTAACCCTGAAAATCAAATTTACATTCCTGCAGGGAAACTTGCTGCCATTTGAATTTAATTGTTTGTGAACATTAGGATGAAAATCTCATCCAGTCCTCAGTTCTTCAGTGTTTTGTGTATCCATTGTGACTGCTCTGCTCTGCTTTCTTGTGGCCAGCTTTGGGTAGGCATGCCGGCCTGGTACGTGGCTGCATGTCGAGCCAATGTGAAGAGCGGAGCCATAATGTCAGCACTCTCTGACACAGAGATCCAAAGAGAAATTGGAATCAGCAACCCTTTGCATCGCCTCAAACTTCGTCTGGCCATCCAGGAAATCATGTCTCTCACGAGCCCCTCAGCACCTCCCACCTCTAGAACGGTACCAGTTTTTTAAATTTCTTTACAAAATACACACACGGCTGTTTGACAAAGACCATTCCAATTGTGTTGTTTTCCTATGTGTTAATACTTCACCTTCAACACGTACTAATTATCGAGTCAAAGAAGCTCCCGTTTCAAGTCTTTTTGCTAACAATTAACACGTTTTTTTTCACCCCATCTTCTTTCTACCCTTTATTGTTGTGTCCTTTTTGCACACTTGTGATTGGGGGGTGTCACATGATCAGACCACAGGAAACGTTTGGGTCACACATGAAGAGATGGAAAGTTTGGCAGCCACACCACCTACGGTCAGTCCACCCAGATTCTGTGGGGATGTTTTGGTTCAAGCTGCCTGCAGGACACTTACACCTCAAATGTTGTGTGCACGTCTTAGTAATCGATCTACGGCTGCTACTGAAAATTATTTTAATCCACAATATTCTATCCACTTATTGATTAATATGTTAATCAATATTATTAGTGTTAATTTTCTTTGAAAAAAATCCAAGTTAAATTTGATACTTCAGCTTGACTAAAATAGAGCTTTTATTATTAATTTTATTTTTTTTATTTATTGTTTATTTAATGAGGTAAATGCCACTGAGATCACTTATCACTTTTATAAGTTGGGCCTGAAGGCTGCCTAACTTTGTCTGTACCTCATCTGTGTTCTTTGTTTAAAACAGGTCTCTCTCTGAGTCTTCGAGGCTCAGTGAGACCAACCTGTAGAAATAAAGGTTGAATGAACATGAATGTTTTTGGTCTGTGGGAGGAAACTGGAGTATCTGGAAAAAACCCACGCATGAATGGACAGACCGTGCAAACTCCACACAGAAAAACCCTCCAGGACCAAACCGGGTCTTAAACCCAAGACCTTCTTGCTGTGAGGCAACAGTGCTAACCACTAATCCACTGTGCTGAAAATTGACATTAAAGGCCTGAAGTTTTAGCATGTTGTAACTATTTATTGGGAAAAACTGTAAACAACTGTGGAGAGCCTTTTTTTGTAGAAGTTCTTGTGGTATTGCTTCTCAAAGAGAAGAGAAACCACTTCTAAAATAAGACGGTGACTGTAAAAATACCCAATCAATCAATATACTTCATTGATCCCAAAGGGAAATTTCAGTATGTGTCATTTAAATATTAGTTTATCTAAATTTTTCACATATTATATTATATTATATATTATACATTATATTTAACTATTCTTTTTTTGTATTATAAGGGGATATGGCATATTTAAAAGTTGCTAAAAAATAATACTATAAGCAGGTTTCCATTTAAAAGTTAATAAAAATA